GGGGGGAACCGACAGCGCTGCGGGAGCCAGCCGGGGTGAAGGAGCCGAGCCCAAGGGTCAGGGGGCCGTGCTGGGGAAAGGCTGCTGTGTGCTGGGCTCCAAGGGCAGGAGGAGGCTGCGGAGCCAGGAGAAAGCCACCAGCTCCTGCAAGGGTGCTTCAGAGCACCCCGGGGTGCCCCCACCCTGCCTGCCTGCACCCCTGGGGTGCAGGCAGCAACCCCAGGCACTGTGGGATGTTGCCTCCCTGCTCTCCAAAAGGGGGAAAGGCCTTTGAATGGTCAGGAGCACTTTTATTTGTTTTTCCTGCTCCACAATCCGGGCTTGGACATAAGCAAAGGCCGGAACCATCCCAGGGAGAAGGGGACTCTCTAGAAAACACGCACATAGAGAGAGACATGCACAAACATACAGACATTATACATGCATGCACACTTCTCTCTCCCTATTTTTTTTTTTTTTTTTGCAGAGCAGTCTTTTTTTTTTTTTTTTTTTTGCTGAGCTGGCGAGAACGGCGGGAGCAGAGCCAGGAAAAACAAATCAGTCCTACCATCCCATTCAGGAAGTTTCACTTTAAACCAAACCAGATGATGGCTCCAGTCCTCGGATACATTTAACTGTGAGAGAACCAGCCCACAGCACAACGTGCCAGGGCTGCAGCCAGGAGGGGAGAAAATAGCCCCGATTCCCCACGGCTGCTCGGTGTCACGTACGCACGGCGCCCTCGCTGCAGAGCAGCAGGGGCTGGTGCTGGGGGAGCACGGCTGGGTTTTTCCTAGGAATGCCTCCCTCTGTCCTGCCGCTGCAGAGAAGCTCCCTTTTGGTGTTTACATGGTGCTTACAAGCTCCCGATGGCCGGGGACTAGGCTGAAGTCATGCACCGAAGAGCATCTCGCTCAGCACGGAGCAGGGGAGGGCGCCTGCCACGGGCTCGACCAGGCCTTTGCTCAACCACAGGAAGAACTTGCTTCCAGCCCCAGATGGTGATCACATTGTGCCACGAGACCAGGAGGATGGAGAGAGCTCCTGAGAGCTTCGTTTAGCTCTTGTGCAACCCTAGACTCCCAGCCCACGAGTTAACCCTCCCAAGCCACCCGGGCTTATTCCACCACTGCCTTGGCCCACAGAAGAGATGGAGTAAGGTCAGCAGTGCCCAGTCACGGCTCTCAGGACAGCCCTAAGCATGCAAAAACCTTTGAGGTCACCAAAGAAGGGTGTGAAGATCACACAAGGAGGTCCCCAGCCCAAGGTCATTCAAAGCCAGTGAGAGATCAGAACTCCAGAGCCACTGGTGCAGGCTTACCGAACCTAAAACGCTCCCTTACACATCGCTGACCGTTGAGGTAGAGCCCTGGGGAACTGATTTTGACTGGTGGCTCAGCGACTCAGCCATGCACAGCAGCTTCGTGGTGGTTTGGTCGATGAAGAGCGGGGCTGTCCCCATGCCAGCCCCCTGCCCAGCCCCACCCCAGCCTGCAGCAGCGCGCGAGGGCAGCACGACCCAGCTGCAGACACTGGATGCCTGTGCAAAGCGAAGAATTCATCCCACCCAGGGGGGGGAATAATCCAGGAGAGCTGCTGGCCACAAGTCCCAAGGCGGCTCTTCTTGTGCCAGGTACGGCTGGCTGCTCGTTGTGAGGCCCAAGGGGAGCAGAGCTCTTCTGAAACACCAGAACAGCCAAAGTCCAGGGTCTGGGTCTGGATTTGCTTAGGAACTGCAATTTAATAACGCTTTTTGGAAGAGGAATTGGCTTGAGAGTTGGCTTGAGGTCCACACAAACCACTCAGGAGAGGAGAGGTAATCACCCCTGCTCTGTGCACCGTGCTCATCCCTCATTTCCCCTCTCACCACAAAGTCAAACACACCCAACGGTACCTTCACCCTCCCGCTCCCTGCCACAAGCCAACCAGGAACATCCAAGAAGCCCCTTAACAATGCAACTTTTTTCATCTGCCAGCACACTGGTACCCAAAGGGGGAGGGAAAAACTAAGTCCCATATTACTTCTGAGGGTGTGATCTGCCCACTGCGTTCACTGCTGTAAAAGCACCTTTTTTTTTTTTTTTCATTTAACCATCCAGACACACGCAAGACCAGGAACGCAGGTGAGATGCAAATCCCAGTTGCTTGGGCTGTTCTTCCCAATATTCACGCCTCAGCAGCGACACGCACCAGCAGCCGTTTCCAGCGCTTTGCTTGGTTTCTCAAATGACTGTCAGTAACTTAACTGGCAGTTGCCAGCTTCAGGCTGTAACTGGGAAAATGCGCCCACTCAGCTCCTGAGCGGTCCAGGAAAGCATTCCTAATTCCCCCTCCCATTCCCAGCTGGATTGGGGGAGGCGGGGAGGGGAGAAAAGAGCATCAATTGAGGCTTTCACTTCCCAGCAATGATGCTCATCTGCCACCGAAAATTAACTCCGTGTGCGTCTTATTTTCGCTGCGGTTTGCTCTCCGTGGTTGCCAAAAGGGAAATGATACCCCTTCCCCCATGTGCTCATCCCACTGCTGTGGCCGCAGGAGCCGGGGCTCCTCAGGTCTCCGCACCACCGTTACTGCCTGACCTTGTCCTGGCTGTGCTGCATTTACTGGCACGGGAATAAAGGCACCTCTGCACTTCACCGGCGGATTTTCTAAGGACGTTCGCAGCTGAAGCAGGTAGGAATGAGCGGTTTTCTCTGCAGAGAACCGATCGCTCCCAGAAGACATGGGAACAGAGAGTCCTCCACGGAAGGGACCCAGCACCCGCACACAGCCGCAGCGACCCCGAGGATGGCACTCGGGCCCTGCCCTGGCCTGCAGCACCCTGTGCACCAGCTGCAGCACCCGGTGCACCCGCTGCGGCACC